GCCGTCAGGATGTGGCTACCATTCTGCATTCAAACAATTGCAGCCGGTACAAAAACATTAGCGATGAGTCGAAGTGAAGATCTGATCACAACTGTATGGAAGGCCTTTTTGCACATCCGTTTAGAAGATCTGATATTTTGTCTAAAAGGGAGCTATTCTAAGCATTATATATCATTTGGCTTCTTTCCTGCAACATCCTTTTTTTTTTTTTTTTTCCTTTTGGGGCAAAAAGATCACCTATTCACGAGGTATACAGATTTTCCGACGACTTCCTGACACTCACCCACCAACCTCTCACTGTTTGTCTCAGAGGTGAACATCAGCATTGCACAATTGCCCAAAGCCTGCCAAGTAATTAAAGGGATGGACGTCGTCATTGTCTTTCATGACTTCAGGCTAGAGACTCGCATACGATTTCAGGGAAGTTCAACCCGCGCCACCTATGCGAGGCCCAGACCCTTTCTGGACATGTTTTTGCTTTTAGTTTTTTTTCTTTTTTTTTAACTTGAGGAAAAAAATATATATTATCTATTGATGTAACACATTTGCTAATGTTTTTTTTTTTTTTTTGCCTTATGACGCTTATCCTTGTCAACTCTCAAGAGATCAGGAGCATGAAGAAGAAGAAGCAGGAGAAGAAGTAGAAGAAGGAGACGGAGGAGGAGAAGAAGAAGAAGAAGCAGGTGGTCTCTTTGGCTGGCTCGGCTTCAAACGAGCATGTGAATCTCGTTGTACTCATCCCGGCCATCTTCATCAAAGTTGGGCGAGTCTTCATCGCAATCCAGCTGTGAAGATAGAGAGCTTCACTTATAGGTTGGCCGGTTTTTGTCCCCCCTCCTCCAGATCTTATTTTGCACAATTTGAGTCAAATAGGAGTCAATAAAGAGTAATAAATAAATAAATACAATCGGGGTGGGGCTAAAAATTCCATTCGTCTTGCATGTCTCCCAATTAATAGAAAAGAAATGGAACGTCCAGGCAATGCATAGCGCGAGACCATTCAGTTGGGTCTGAAAATGAGCTCGCTAATTGCGGCGTAAGGCCCAAGTTTCCCTCATTAAAGCCCAGCGGGGTAACCAGTCAGCCAAGACAAAATAAATGCAATGTCACGTTCAATAATTGTACAATTTTTCAGGATTGTGTACTGGTGGCTGAACAACATTTCAGTTTAATGAGCAGAAAGCGTGCGTTGCCCACGTGAGAAAAATGGCACGATTTGTGGCGTGATCGAGGAGCGGCGCCGCCATCAGTCATGGCCGCGTTTCTTTCTCGCAAATAACGTTTATGGTCTTTTTAAAAGGCCAAAAGATGTCACCAGATTGCGGCCAAAGCTTGTCTCGCAGGAAAGTCGTAATTTGTGAGTATTTTGAAGAGACTGAAACAATTCAGAAGCCAAATTATGATTTAGAGTTTTAAAAATGATATTGGGAGAAAAACTTTGTGGGCGCGCAGCAATTGCATTTTTTTTAAAAATTTGTGTAAAGGCTCCATAACAAGTCACTAAAAATTGAGCACTTGAAGCGGCAGTGTAATTCTAGCCTTAGAGTTGGAAATGTGTTCATGGCGATTTCCCTTTGACGTGAAATTTAATAGACGTACTAAATTGTGGTTTGTGTTAACACCGAAACATGTACTGTAGTGATGAAGTCCAATTGGATTCTTTGCATGCAATACAATACTTTGTTGGGCAGAATATTCTCTCAAATCTCACTTTGAGATGGAGAAATGTATCCTCCCTCCCAAAAAAAAGGAAAAAAAAAAAAAAAGCCTGAGCGTTTTGAGCGTCTAACCAGAAAAACATGACGCAGCCCCAAACGTGAACATTTCCAGGGAGAAACATGAGACACTGACATTTGTCACGAAGGAATTTGAAGCTCAATATTTGCATTTGGAGGAGTGAGTACTGGAGCCAAAAAGGGTTCACGTCCATCCGAGCCCGTGGAGCGCGGTGCTGACAAGTTGACATCCACTCGCCATGTCTTTTTCATCTGGGCTATTCCAAGCCTTCTTATTCCAGGCTGCAATCATGATATAAACCTTCACAGAGGACATCATGGAAATTTGGAATTTCTCAGATACAAGTCTTCGGCTCTCTGGAGTGGCAGGGTTCATTTTCATAGGATTTGATCAGTAATGCCAAAGACTGAGGCCACTGAATTTTATTTTGAAATTGGATATCTGATATCAGTATCTGAATTATTGGCAAGAGTTGTTTCTTAGATTGTTTATATTTATTTTAATATTTCTCAAAATGGCCGGGGGTGGCGGGGGCAGCAGCTTTAGCAGGGAAGCCCAGACTTCCCTCACCCCAGCCACTTCTTCCAGCGCTTCCCGTGAAGGTGTTCCCAGGTCAGCCAGTAGACATGGTCTCTCCGGCGTGTCCCCGGGTCGTCCCCGGGGCCTCCTGCCGGTGGGACATGCCCGGACCGGAACACCTCACCGGGGAGCCATCCTACTCAGATGCCCGAGCCACCTCACCTGGCGACGGGGGAAGGAGGAGCGGCTGGACTCTGAGTCCCTGCCGGATATACCGAGCTTCTCACCTTGTCTCTAAGGGAGAGCCCAGACAACCCGCGGAGGAAACTCATTTCGGCCGCTTGTATCTGGGATCTCGTTCTTTCTTTTTTTTCAAAATGTTCGTGCTACAATCTCTTTACCGTTATGTTTCCTTAAACGTCACAATTTGCTTTCTGAAGATGCTAATCACATCCTTGAGGTTTTTTCTCCGAGGCTCGACTGGTTCGCACGTCAGCCTCGCAGTGCTTTTGGTCCGGCGTTTGATTTCGTGGCCGCAACCTTCCTGTATGGAGTTTGCATGTTCTCCCATGCTTGCTTGGCTTTTCTTTGGCTTTCTCCGACACTCTAAAAACATCTATGACAGGTGGATGGAACACTAAATTGTGTGAGTGTGAATGGTTGTTTGTCTGTGTGTGCCCTGCGATGGGCTGGCAACCATTTCAGGGTGGACCTACTGCCCGAAGACAGCTGGGATAGTCTCCAGCACACCCGCGACCCTCCTGAGGATAAATCAGCTAATGGATGGATGGATGCCCCCCCACTCCCCTAGAGCACAATTTGCCTTTTGGGTGAAGATGAACCTCAATGGATCTTGTGGTCTTATGTATTCCTTTTCTTGATGCTTTGGCAAATGGCCCTCCTATGTCACTCAAGACTCAATTCTTGACGTCCGCTGGAGGAAGCGGCATGACGTTGTTGCCTCTGAGCCGTCAGGATGTGGCTACCATTCTGCATTCAAACAATTGCAGCCGGTACAAAAACATTAGCGATGAGTCGAAGTGAAGATCTGATCACAACTGTATGGAAGGCCTTTTTGCACATCCGTTTAGAAGATCTGATATTTTGTCTAAAAGGGAGCTATTCTAAGCATTATATATCATTTGGCTTCTTTCCTGCAACATCCTTTTTTTTTTTTTTTTTCCTTTTGGGGCAAAAAGATCACCTATTCACGAGGTATACAGATTTTCCGACGACTTCCTGACACTCACCCACCAACCTCTCACTGTTTGTCTCAGAGGTGAACATCAGCATTGCACAATTGCCCAAAGCCTGCCAAGTAATTAAAGGGATGGACGTCGTCATTGTCTTTCATGACTTCAGGCTAGAGACTCGCATACGATTTCAGGGAAGTTCAACCCGCGCCACCTATGCGAGGCCCAGACCCTTTCTGGACATGTTTTTGCTTTTAGTTTTTTTTCTTTTTTTTTAACTTGAGGAAAAAAATATATATTATCTATTGATGTAACACATTTGCTAATGTTTTTTTTTTTTTTTGCCTTATGACGCTTATCCTTGTCAACTCTCAAGAGATCAGGAGCATGAAGAAGAAGAAGCAGGAGAAGAAGTAGAAGAAGGAGACGGAGGAGGAGAAGAAGAAGAAGAAGCAGGTGGTCTCTTTGGCTGGCTCGGCTTCAAACGAGCATGTGAATCTCGTTGTACTCATCCCGGCCATCTTCATCAAAGTTGGGCGAGTCTTCATCGCAATCCAGCTGTGAAGATAGAGAGCTTCACTTATAGGTTGGCCGGTTTTTGTCCCCCCTCCTCCAGATCTTATTTTGCACAATTTGAGTCAAATAGGAGTCAATAAAGAGTAATAAATAAATAAATACAATCGGGGTGGGGCTAAAAATTCCATTCGTCTTGCATGTCTCCCAATTAATAGAAAAGAAATGGAACGTCCAGGCAATGCATAGCGCGAGACCATTCAGTTGGGTCTGAAAATGAGCTCGCTAATTGCGGCGTAAGGCCCAAGTTTCCCTCATTAAAGCCCAGCGGGGTAACCAGTCAGCCAAGACAAAATAAATGCAATGTCACGTTCAATAATTGTACAATTTTTCAGGATTGTGTACTGGTGGCTGAACAACATTTCAGTTTAATAAACAAAAAAAGTGAGGCAGATTTTTTTTTTTTTTTGTGGGTCTTTTTAAAAGGCCAAAAGATGTCACCAGATTGCGGCCAAAGCTTGTCTCGCAGGAAAGTTGTAATTGGTGAGTATTTTGAAGAGACTCAAACAATTCAGAAGCCAAATTATGATTTAGAGTTTTAAGTAATTCTAGCCGTAGCGTTGGAAATGAGTTCATGGCGGTTTCCCTTTGACGTGAAATTTAATAGACGTACTAAATTGTGGTTTGTGTTAACACCGAAACATGTACTGTAGTGATGAAGTCCAATTGGATTCTTTGCATGCAATACAATACTTTGTTGGGCAGAATATTCTCTCAAATCTCACTTTGAGATGGAGAAATGTATCCTCCCTCCCAAAAAAAAGGAACAAAAAAAAAAAAGCCTGAGCGTTTTGAGCGTCTAACCAGAAAAACATGACGCAGCCCCAAACGTGAACATTTCCAGGGAGAAACATGAGACACTGACATTTGTCACGAAGGAATTTGAAGCTCAATATTTGCATTTGGAGGAGTGAGTACTGGAGCCAAAAAGGGTTCACGTCCATCCGATGGAGTGAAGTGGCAAAGATGGACGAGCGCGTTACTGGAAAGCCCCCGCCGCGGCACCTACCGCCTGAAGCTCACGTTCCTCAAAAACCCTGGAGAGGATGACGCGGCGCAACGGCACCGTCATGATGAGGACGAAGGGGAATGCCAGGGAGGCGGCGGTGGACTTGACGACCCACAGGGCCGCGATGCAGCCCAGCTGGATGAGGGTGAACATGTTCATGCGCCACGTCTTCACCTGCCGACAAGAGAAAGGCATTCAACGGCTGACGCCTAGACTCTCCGCTTCGACAAAAGACTTCAAGGGGGTGGCTCCTGTTTTTGGCTCCATCTTGTGGACAAGGACCGCTCTTCCAGCCATCCCTTTTCAAAAGCCCTAAGTCATGTTGACATCTTACCAGAGCATTTTGAGCCAGAGGAAATATTCACCTTATTTACTAAACCAAAGAATAGACTCGTGGCTGATACTGGACCGGATGTGTTCGACAGTCTCATGTTCAGGGTGAAGAAACCGTGCCTCAATCCTTCTGCGCAAGTCCAAGGAGTCCAGTTCCAATGATTTTGGGGCCCCCGGAGCCCTTTGAGTCCGAGGACCCTTGTTTGAGAACCGGCTTCCTCAAATAAATCATTCCGATGAACTCGGGCAAATCGACGTCAGCGCGGAGCGGTGTCCTTTAGTCGGGGAAGCCCCGAGCTTGCGCGCGTGACTCTGTCATTACGCGGGCTTCTGAGCATCTGCGTCAGTGCTGGAATCCGTAACATCCCAAACGCTGCAAGGCTGTCATTTCCGGAGCTAGCGAAGCAACATGACCTGGCAAGATGGACCCGCGTTGGCTTTCGGCTGCAGTCGCGCACGGCCGAATGACAGAGCACGCCAGCGAGAGCAGGGACTGCCGATATTCGCGCCGTTGTCTGCGCGTGTGAGTGGAGTATCGCAAGTGCGTGTGCGCAGGTTCGAGGCGCACTCGAACCTCACGTGACTTGACTCCGGTCGGATTCAATTTTAGGACTTGGCCAAGATTTGGCGAGTCTGCCCTGTTTCACATTTAAAATTCGGCCTTTCAATGAGCCATTTCTTTTGTTTTGGAAAAACATTTTATTTTAAGCGTAGATCGATCTTATTTCAATACACACAAAAAACTAAAGGACAGAACAACTACAACAGTTAACTTCATCCTCTCAATACAAAAGTCAGCTTTGCAGTTCATTTCAGAGGTTAAGACTTGCACTTGTGTGACCTGCCGCCCGTCATGTGCGTTACCTTGGTGACATAAATGTGGTCGGGGTGGTGCTTGGCCGGCGTGACCATGAGCGTGATGCGTTCGTACAGCTGGATCCCCGTCAAAGAGGTCACCCCCATGTACAGGAAGATGCCAAAGAGCACGGCCAGAGGGATGAGGCGCAGCACATCCGTCATCACGATGGACATACCTGGTCGGGTCGGACGGAATCCAATTTGGATCATCACATACGGGATATGGTGTCAATTCGTGACGACAGTCATTTCAATGAAGCCGCATGGTCTTGATACCTGGTATCGGTACTGGTCCGTCCCATTCCATATATCTTATCGACGGCATGTTTTCTGGGGTGTGAAAAGTGCAACTTCTTACCCACAAGCACGGCCACAAGAAGTCCCGTCAGCCTCTGCTCTTTGACTTCCTGGATCATGGGCTTCTCTCCAGGCGCCGTGGCTTTGCTCATGACGGTCAGGGCGTTGACGTGGGTGACCGAGCGCACCGTGGCCGCCGTCAGCCACGGCAGGCCAAATAGCGGGCAGAAGGCGCCGAGAATGACGATGAGCAGCAAGTCCAGGTGGAACCCCGAGCCTTTCATTTTTTTTTTTTTTTTTCCTTTTGGGGCAAAAAGATCACCTATTCACGAGGTATACAGATTTTCCGACGACTTCCTGACACTCACCCACCAACCTCTCACTGTTTGTCTCAGAGGTGAACATCAGCATTGCACAATTGCCCAAAGCCTGCCAAGTAATTAAAGGGATGGACGTCGTCATTGTCTTTCATGACTTCAGGCTAGAGACTCGCATACGATTTCAGGGAAGTTCAACCCGCGCCACCTATGCGAGGCCCAGACCCTTTCTGGACATGTTTTTGCTTTTAGTTTTTTTTCTTTTTTTTTAACTTGAGGAAAAAAATATATATTATCTATTGATGTAACACATTTGCTAATGTTTTTTTTTTTTTTTGCCTTATGACGCTTATCCTTGTCAACTCTCAAGAGATCAGGAGCATGAAGAAGAAGAAGCAGGAGAAGAAGTAGAAGAAGGAGACGGAGGAGGAGAAGAAGAAGAAGAAGCAGGTGGTCTCTTTGGCTGGCTCGGCTTCAAACGAGCATGTGAATCTCGTTGTACTCATCCCGGCCATCTTCATCAAAGTTGGGCGAGTCTTCATCGCAATCCAGCTGTGAAGATAGAGAGCTTCACTTATAGGTTGGCCGGTTTTTGTCCCCCCTCCTCCAGATCTTATTTTGCACAATTTGAGTCAAATAGGAGTCAATAAAGAGTAATAAATAAATAAATACAATCGGGGTGGGGCTAAAAATTCCATTCGTCTTGCATGTCTCCCAATTAATAGAAAAGAAATGGAACGTCCAGGCAATGCATAGCGCGAGACACCGTGGCCGCCGTCAGCCACGGCAGGCCAAATAGCGGGCAGAAGGCGCCGAGAATGACGATGAGCAGCAAGTCCAGGTGGAACCCCGAGCCTTTCACCAGCCGACGCTCCTTCTTACTGACAATCAGGCTGAAAGAGGCAAATCAGAAGCGGCACCACAGATCATCCTTCTTTCCAGGAAACTTAGGGACGCATGTACACGATTCTCGTCATCGATTGTCCTCGGCGGCCCTGTTCCTCGGCTCGTCCAATCAGATCCCTCCAAAAGAATGTACTCCCATTTCGATTTGCTCCTGTCAAAACACCTTCTTGATTTATGAGCTTCGACTGTTGTTTTTATAGCCACTCAGCAGAGAAAAAAAAAACATCCTCGAGCGGGAGAGATTCTCCGCTAACCACCGCGGCGAGATATGTCACTTCAACATAGTGTGCAGTGAAGGGTGCTGGGGAGGACGCCCTGCCGCAAAGAGTGGAAATCAGCAAGTAATTGTCACCACATCAAACCCCCCAAATCTGCGAAATTGTGAATGCCAGCCCGCCAATATTCGGGAGTTTGCAGTAATTCCGTGAGACTGATGACAAGCTGAAGAAAGATTCCCCAGGAAAAAAAAACAACAACACACAAAGAGGGAAATGCTGCACTTACGAAGTGATCTGCGTTTCCATAAAAATGAGGATAAATACAAGAAGTGCGGGTACAATGGACGCTCCCATCATCCAGGTGGGAAAAGGCCGCTTGTCACCAAAGGGACTGATGAACCAGCCTCTCTTGTTCGGGGAAGTGACTGAGAAGCCGGACGGCACGTCGAGTTTCTACAAGGAAACCAAACACAACACGAGGGATGAAAGAACGCCTCCACGTTCCAGCGGCAAACTGCCAAAGGCCACTTGGGCCGCATTGCTGCCTTGCTAAAGTGACGCAGTTTTTTTGCTCTCAAGTGGCACAATTCAGACATGAGTGATGGATGAAGCATCAATGAGTAACGATCCTTTTACCTGCGTATACGTGTCGGTGATGGAGTAATCCACCAGCACCGAAACTAAAATTGAAATGGGGATACCAAAGTCCCCAATGATTCTTCTTGCCTGCGGGGAGGGGAGAGAAAAAGAAATCAGTAAAAGCAGAAGAACGGATCCAGTTGATGCTACTCCATGCAGGGTTTTTCCTGGCTCAAGCTGAGGCAGAGGTGGTACCACGGACAAGCTATTTTTTTTTTTTCAAAAGGGACGGATTCAACCTTCTTCTGCTTGGCTAAATCTGAAAAAGTTGGTCGGATTGACCGAGGGATAGTCATGGTGTTGCTGACCAATGAACGCTCGATTCCCCACGATTACCTTGCCACCTAAAAATCGACTGTTTCGGAACTTTCTGAGGAAGAAAGCCACAAAGAAAGTGCCCATCATGAGGACGAGAGACAGCAGAGCAGTGTTGGGTTGGTTCTGGACGTCCTGAAGTTCAGACGGAGGGGTGGCGTCCCCGGGGTACCACGCCATCAACGGATGTTCTCGAAACACCTGAAAAACAAGCGATTCGCGTGAAAAACACACACAATCCGAATTCGGGAAAGGCCATCTCCATCACGACCTTGATAAGCTTGGAGAAGGTCTCGTAGATGAAGATGAGGGAGATCAGGAAAGCAAAGATCTCTTGAGTAAAGGGTGAGATGAAGCGAACGAGGAAGCTGCCCTCCGCCGCGACGATCAGCAGGACGATGAAGACGAGCCAGAAGCCGATCCACACCCGGCCGGTCAGGTACTCAAAATCGTAGGCCTGACAGAACTGAGCGACAACACCATTGACCATTAGGCGCCCAGTGGAAGCAAACCAGGCAGTGCAATGAGATGCTAACGGTCGCAATAGTTCGTGGGAGGCAATACTTCCATCTCCGGCGGGATCAGGAAGTCATATGACACCGCCCACCCCCCCC